ATGTATTCAGATTGGTATTTTTTTTCCTTTATGGATTTTGCCTTTGTTGTGCGTAGAGAAAAACTTTCTATTAGAGCTTTTCTCCTCCTTAACTTTTAACATTTGAATTTCTTTAATCTAGTTTGGTTTCTCATGTACAGTGCAATGCTAACTTTTTTTTTTGCTAAATGGTGAGATAATTGTTTTAGTGCCATTTGTGTATAGTCCTTTTCCACTTCCTGAGTACTCATTAAATTTGAGATTTAAGGAAAAAAATGACTTAGAAATTAATCTAAGTTGTCCAGAGACAATTTAGTTGAGTGACCCCAGGCACTGATCTTTAAATACTGGTGATGTGGGGGAGTGTATCATGGGAAGGGTCTCTTATAACGTGTCTGTGAGCATCTGTTTCTCTTGCACAGTCACGGCACAGGTACCTGTGTCTTGAAGTTTCAGTGTAGGCTCGCAGCACTTCCTTCAGACTTCCCCCCTGTCCTGCTGGATATGCCTAGACTCATCCCTGACTCTCTAAGTTTTCATGGGTTTTGCTGAAGCCTTATGACTATCATGAACATTTTCAAATAACAAACTCCTTTTCCATTTAAAGTATAAAAAGCCTTCTGTTACAGGATTTAAGTAAACTTCAAGTTTGAAAACTTATTGTGGTTAGCATTTTTGTTTAATGCTCTCTTTAATCCAGAGCATGAAATGTTTTCCATTTTTACAACACTTTGCAAGTACTGAAATTATTAGGTATGCTTGTTTTTGAACTGTTCCTTTTTTTTTTACTTTCTAATTTGAAATGAGTATAGATTCACAGGAAGTTGTAGAGACGTCCATGTATCCTTCACTCAGCTTCCCCCAGTGGTAACATCTTACATAATCATAGTGCAGTATCACTGTATCTGGAATGTATACACACACACACGTGTATGTATGTATGTATACTTATAGGTATATATGTGTATATATTACTGTATACTTATATCACTACAGTGACATTGTATAATCCACAGACCATATTGAAATTTCACCAGTTTTACATGCACTTGTGTGTGTGTGTATAGTTCTATGCAGTTTTATCACAAATGTACATTCGTGTATCCACCCCATTCCCAAGATACAAAACCGTTCCATCACTACAAAGATTCCTCTTGCTACCCTTTGATCAGTTTGCTTTTAGCCAAGCCACCTAGAGCTAGAAGCATTAGCCATGTGAAATTTGAGGGCAGTCCATAGTAAAGTTTTATTTCAGTTTGGTCCTCAGTGAGTTTATAGAGCTTTGGCAACCTCTAGTTTTGTGGTTTGAGTTTAAGGCTAGAAGGAATTTGTAATAATTTTTTTATGACTGGAAGATCAGAGCAGTGTCTTAAATACGAGTATAGTATGACCTGTAGATATTGGCCATATCCAGATTGGTGGCCCCTTAGTGGGCTGCTTTCCCCTCACTGCCCCACCCCACCCCGACCTGGTGATACACCATAATCAGGAGATTGAAGGGTGCTGGGCCTGCTGCTCTTTGGTTTCTGGAGCATCTGGCTTCAAGAGGAAGCCCTGTAACCCTGGGTGATGAGGCAACTGCTCAGGCCATTAGGGCTCCACGGGTGGCAAGCTCCATCAGGACAGTACATAGTCAGTGGACTGCTCTGTGGCCAAGCCACTGCAGCTCTGCCAGGAGCTGAGTTTCCTTTAATCTTTGGTGGCTAGAACATTCTGGACTTCTGCCAGCACATCCCAGTGCAGTTTCTGGGGCAACAGTTTTATTTCATTATGTTTTTTTCCTCCTTAAATACTATCCAATTCCTTCAAGTTGCCTTTTTTTCTTCTTTTTAGTTAGTTGGTTTACTTCTCACTTTTTATTTAAATGCTTTTCTTAACATGTGTTGTGACACGTGGGGGCCCTAAGATGCTCATTGGAGACCCTGAACCCATGTGTGTCAGTTGTGGACCTCATTGCATAGGGAGAGTTGGCAGGGCTGTTTCAGTGGAAGAGCTCCTAAAAGTGTCCCCTTGGGCTGACCAGAATCCACAGAGAAAGGTCAGTCATCTGCTTGGAGAGAATAGACCTGGCTGCCAGAGTTCTGGGAGACTAATGAGGAAGGGCATGGGGACATTGGCCTCTATTTAATGTATAACCTTTTGCAAAATGTACCCATTTTCTGTGACCTACAGGCTAGAGGCCCTGTATTTTTATCATCTTCAGAGAATAACCCTCTAGACTTCTGCCAGAAAATGGGGATTGGTGGAAGAAGTCTGGGGCTTTAACTTTTTTTTTTTTTTTAAACAGACTTCTAACTATTCTGTTTTCAGATCCATTTTTTTCCTCATGTATTATTGCAATGGCTGACATGCCCTTTTGGAGGGGAAGGTCAGGTGGAGAACTGCAGGTTAAATCTGCTTGCTTGATTTCTCCCACCACCAATTTAGGATTCAACCTTCTTTTTTCTTTGAATAATCTAGACAATATACGAATTCAACAATTTCTACACGTACAATTGAGTGACATTGATTACATTCTTCAAGTTGTTCAACCATTCTCACCTTCCTTTTCCAGATTGTTCCTCTGCCATTAACACTAACTCACTGCCTCCTGAGTTTCCTGTCTAATCTTTCAAGATGTTGTTGTCTGTGTGATCCTGTATAGTTCTTTAAAAGAGCACAATGCTCAAGGTGGGCATTCTGGACTAATTAAGCCAAACCATTGTTTGGTTTAAAGAAGACTTCAGGGGATGTTTTTGGTTTAAGATTATCTCAGGGCAGTAGTTTTTGAGGTTCATCTAGCTTCTGTAGCTCCAGAGTCTGGATTCTGTGATAATTTGAAATTCTGTTTCACATTTTTACCCATTTTCATCAGGAGTCTTACAGAAAATCTTCAAACAAAAATGTTCAGTAATGGTAGCCGAGCACCATCCAGTTCTTCTGGTCCTCATGGCGAAGGAGGCAGTTGTTTATGGAGGCAGTTAGTCATGCATTCTGTTTTCTCCTTTTATTCTGGACTCCTTCTTCTTCTTTCTCTCCACCCCTGGAGAGTCTTGATTAATTGGATCTGGGATAGAATCCTTTGTATTTTTAACATGTAACCCAAGAACCAGTAAGGTCTGAAAAACAACATGTAACTGATTTATTTTGTAACTTGAATGCAAATTGAGGCAATAAGTGGTATTGTTACAGAAAAATAATTTCAACTAATCATTTTTATAGAAAAATTGAATTAGAAAGGGAGTCATTTTCTTTGCGACTTTGTTTTCCATTTCCATTTTGCACTATTGTAAGGTTTGATGGGGGAGATGGAATAACCAGAGTAGTTTTTATCTTCCTGGAACAAAGGTGTACTTTAGCTGTTGATTGTAAATAAGTTGTGGATTTGTTGAAATAAGCTGTGATAATGTGTGTATCTGTAAAATGGAGGTAATATCTATCTTAACAGGTTTGTTGTGAGGCTTAAATGTATGTGAAAGCACTTGAATCTGAAAGGAACTCTGCAAGTTCAGTGCGTCTGATCCTTGATATGAAATGCAAGACTTAAAAATACGTAACCATGCTGATGAAAGTACAAACATAAATTTCATAATCAAGTCCTAAATTTTACTGATATGCATGCATTTTCTTTTCTTTCTCTAACTTATCAGCCTTTTAAATTAAGATATGTAACTTTTTATGCTGTGTTAGAGAGTGAGGTCCGTTTAAAGGAAAACGAAATTAAAATGTAACTTTTTTCTATTAAAAAAAAATTCCAACTGTGTAGTTCTTTATGCACTAGCATGCAGAATCATCACTTAAGCATCGTTTTAAAAATCACCGGCACCTAACTCTATTCCCAGAGATTCTGATTCAGTAGGTCTGGGTGGGGCTTTTGGTTGATTTCCTTGTGCAGCCAGGGCAGGAAACCCCTGCCTTAGATGGCTGGTGTTTGTGAGGGGTGTGATTAGAGATCTTTGCAAATTTGGGATTTCATAATACACAGTAAATCTTCCCCTATAAAAATAGTAATTTATACTTGAGCCTGTAGTGAGAGAAAATAGTTACATAGTGATGGAATGTGAGGTGACGTGATCTAGTGACTCACCCTGACTTCATACGTGCCTACTTTAGTACTCAAATCTCCACTGTGGTGAACTTTTGAAAAGGAGCCCTGGTTGCGTAGTGGTTAAAGCACTTGGCAGCCAACCAGAAGGTCGGTGGTTCGAACTCACCAGCCACTCAGTAGGAAGAAGGTGTGGCAGTCTGCTTCCATAAAGATTACAGCCTTGGAATACTTATGGGGCAGTTGTACTTTGTCTTACAGGGTTGCTATGAGTTGGAATTGACTCGACAGCAACAAATTTTTTTTTAAAAGGAATAACAGTGGGAAAAAAAAAAACTTTTTGTAACATGAGGCATTTTTTTAACTGCAACCTGAGATCTAAGAAGAAAGACCACACTTAGATGTAAGAAAAAAGTTTTTTTAATCTCCATTTTAGCATGTGTAATATAATGAACCTGAGATACTGTAGATAATGAAACTGAGCCATGAATATTAGCATGGTTTTAGATATTTCAATTTTAAACCCACGCAAGTAGCTTGGATTGAAGGATTCATTTAAAAACATTTGAAAGTCCTCTCTTCCCTTTCCACCAAGAATTTGTGACACTTTAATTTTGCTTCAGGATAAGGTTTTGTTTGGCTGAAATGGATTTTACTTAGGGGAATATGCTTGGCCCACGAAGGAACTCCTCAGTTGGTGGGGGAAAAATCTTAGAAGTATTTCCATTTTGTTTAATATATCAGAAGAGTTCCTGGCTAGGAAACTGTTTTTCAATCTGTTGTATATTCCAAAGGTTTTAAAGTTCTATTTAAAATAATGGTGCTCTAAGTAGGGGCGAAGTCTTATTTTCAAAAAACTTCAGGTTACCCTGGCAGCCTGGATTTGCAGATTCGTTTTTCTAAAATAGAACAGTAAGTTATGTTATTGAGTATATTCCTTGTTAGTTCTAATCTGAAATACTTACATAGGACTCTTATTTCTGTCTTACTCTGTTAGGTGTAAAGATTTCTCTGTGTGTTACTGGAATCCCTATTGGATGCTGCCCTCTGATGTTTGTGGAATGAACTGCTTTTGGGAAGCGGCTTTTAGGTAGGCACTTAATATTTAATTGGTAGATCAGCGTAGGTAAGATTAGATTGTAGATAATAAAACCTTATGTCCTTTCCTGTAATTTATAATTATCATACAAGTAAATAATTCATTTTCTCATTGAGTTTTTGATTCCCTCTCTGCATTTTGTACTTACAGTTGTTGATCACTAATTTTAGTACCTACTCTATATAAAATGTTCTAAATTTTCTCAGATTTTATTAAGCTAAACCATTGTTCTTGGCATTTATGTTCTAATTTTAGGTAACAAGTGATAAAGATAGACTTCCACTGACATTAACAGACGCGCGGCATTTATCTAATTTAAAAACTGGTATACTGAGAAAAGAAGCCCTGGTGGGGCCAGTGGCTAAGCGTTCTGATGCTAATCAAAAGGTCAGCAGTTCGAGTCCACCAGCCACTCCTATGGGGCAGTTCTACTCTGTCCTGTAGGGTTGCTATGAGTCGGAATTGACTCAGTGGCAATGGGTTTGGGTTTTGTTTTGTTTTTTTAATACTGAAAAAATATTTTATACGGATGGGGTAACTGGGGAAGGATTAAATTGGTTAGTAGCAGAAAAATTGAATTTTGGGGAATGGGAGGATGAAGAAAAGTGTTTAATGCAGGACCAGATGATATAACCACGTTTATTAACCTCTTGGAAACCCTGTGGCCTAGTGGTTAAGAGCTACAGCCGCTAACCAAAAGGTCGGCAGTTCAAATCCACCAAGTGCTCCTTGGAAACCCTATGGGGCAGTTCTGCTCTGTCCTGTAGGGTCTCTGTGAGTCAGAATCGACTCGACGGCAGTGGGTTTGGTTTGGTTTTTTGGTTTATTAACCTCTTGGAAGCCCTGGTGGTGCAGTGGTTAAGTGCTCACTGCTAACTGAAAGGTCGGCAGTTCAACCCACCAGCCGCTCTGCGGGAGAAAGATATGGCAGTCTGCTTCCGTAAAGATTACAGCCTGGGAAACCCTATAGGGCAATTCTGCTCTGTCCTATAGGGTCACTATGAGTTGAAATCGACTCGATGGCAGTGAGTTTGGTTTGGTATTGACCTTTTAAGTTACTTATCTGGATAATGAAGGTATTGGCTGACATCTCAGGTCCCTTTCTGCTGTAACCTTCAATGAAAGAGACAAGTGTTGATAGGAACAGGATGAGGCAGTGGTTTTCTCAGATCGCTTCCTGAGATAATGGCAGGGGAGTACGACAGTAGCCCTGAAATGCTCTTCCCAAGAATAAGATTTCTTTAAGAATCACCTGTTTTTACTGGATCTTTATGATTCATTTAAATTTTCATTCTGCTTATTCCATTTGCCAGGCACTATGGTAAGTGCAGAGAACTTCTGTGAATGAGGCTTCCAGACTTCTGAACTCCTTCTGGAGCTTGCGTTACTAATGGGAGCTTTAGACCAGTAAACCTGAGATTACAGCAGTGGGTAAAGAGTTCTAGCTCTGATGATAGGAGAAGCATCAGCTGAGGAGTCATCTTAAAGTATCAGGGCAGGCTTCCTGGAGGGAGTGATGTCTAAGCTGTGACTGCATGATGAATAGGAGGTTAGCCAGGCTGAAGGACAGGAGGTGATGCGTTCTAGGTGGGAAGAACTGCAGTATGTGCAGAAACTCTGAGAAGAAGATGACAGTGAGTTCGAGAAACTGTAAGGCCTTATGACTGGAGCACAGAGTGGAAGGCAGACTGTAGGGAGAGGGGCTGCAGAGGGCCTTAGGCCTTGTAAAAGAGCATAGACTTCATCTGGCATTCAAGGATTTTAACCAAGAAAGTGACATGCTGAGGTCTGCATTTTAGGGAGTTTGATCTGACTTCATAGTGGAAACTGAATTGAGGAGGAAGGTCAGGGTGACATTATTAGATGAAGTGAAAGCAGTGAGGAGGTTTTACCTTAAGGAAATAATAGGGCTCACGTTACACACACACATTTATTTTAATATAAAAACTTCTAAGGTTACCACCAGCTCTGGACATAGGTTACATAGCACAATGTGACTTTCAGAAGCCAAGCCCTGTGCCCATGGGGGGTCTTTCTTAAGAGAAAGGAGTGTGGGCTGTTGACAAGTCCCAGTGGTGATGGCTGCATTCTTCAAAGGCATATGTGTAAAATATAACATGTATTGTAATTCTTGCATTCTCCATACATTATGCATCCCATGAAGAACTGGAAGGGAACAGTTGAAATCAAATATTTTAATTATATCTCTTTGCTATAGAGAAGTTTGGTTGATTGCAATTTTAGCATGGATCAGTCCAAGTCAGATTTTAAACTTTTAAAAACTGATTAAAGATAATCTCACCCTTCAACTTTCATAATTTTGAAGAATTGGAGCTTCATATTTTTCATTCTTAGAAACATTAATGAATAGCGTATTGGCAAGCACCACTTTGCTATCTCCGGTCTTATGACATAAATCTACTCACTCTGGAAGCTGGGTAAGCTTGAAAACTTCTGAATATTCTGATTTATACAGCCCAGGCCCTTATGTAAATTGCAGCACGAGAAATAATCATTATCATCTTACCTCCTGCTCAGCTCTAAGAGTACCCCCACCCCCCACCCCCCACCCCTGCCCAGGAAAGTTTACCTAGCTGGAATCCTGGAGCCTCTGCTTATTAATTCCTTTTGTTTTAGCTTCTCTACCTTATTATTTTCCTAATTCACCCCAAGTATTCCCTGCAAAGAATTACATGTACATCCACTATGTTGTAAGCCCTTGTGCTTATTAATTTCTGAAGTACTCTGTAATATTGTATTCATAGTGTATATCATATGATCACATAAAAAATACTAATCATTTTGCTATACATATCATATCATGTAAAATTTCTCAAACTTTGTTTCGTACTTAGAACTAAGGAGCCCTCACATTTAATCACCTTATTTCAAACATGCAGACCAGCCAGAATACCACCCGATTGCCATATCATTCTCACTCTTAATTTCAGTATTTACTCTAAGTAATACCTCCTTCTGGCCTGACTCCGAGAGCTTAGCCACCCACACCTGGTGAAGCGTCTGTGCACGTCTTTACTACCACTTACGACTTACATCCTGCCGGGCACCAGTGGGCCCTTCGCTGGGCACCATTTTCTTCTTCCCAGGTCTGTCCCAGCATTTGCCAACTTGAATTCTTTAGGTAATTTAGTCTGAGCTAAGCTTATCTAGAGGATAAGCACTGTTTCCTCCTAACTAGTTTATTATACAATGAACATAAAATAATATAAAAAAGAAAAATTGCCTCAACTCCTATCACAAATATTTTATTATTCGTATGCATATTTTGCTCTTACATAGTTGTAAATATAGACCAATCTTGAAATCTGAGTTTAAAGTTTTAATAATTTTTTCCATGTAGCATAGTCTTTATAATTACCATGTTAACAGCCACACACTATTTCATTGGGTTTCAGAAAGATTTTAGGCTTAGATCTTTTTTTTTTTGAGAATTTAAGAAGTAATTTGAATCTGCATTTATTGAGTCTTCTGCTTGACTGTTTGCTTCCCAGCAGCATGTCAAAATGCTGACATCTCCTATGTCTCTTCTGTCCTTGAAATTGAACAAAATCCCTACAACAGCTTTCTTTCAGTGTTTCCTTTCTTTGAAGCTGTTATCTATTTACGTTCTTTCCCTTCACCAGCAAACTTCGTACCTGCTGACTATAGCTTACTCCAGTATGTCCTCAGGTTAACTTAACTGATAACATATTCAAAGCTTCAGTTTCCAAACAAGGTCGCGTTTACAGGTACCGGGGTTAGGACTTGAAGGTATCTTTTTGGGGGATACAGTTCAGTCCGTAACAGCCATCCATTTGTCTTGGCGTTGTGTATTGCAGAGTTGTTAGAGTTCATCTTTGCCTCACCACTTGTTTTACCAATCAGGGGTCAGTCAGTGTGCTTGAGTCTTTTTAGAGCTCTCTTTTCTTTTCCGTTTGTGTTTGTCTGTCCTTACACTAGTATCCGCAATTCTGTGATAAACCTTGGTATCTAGTAGAGCAAGTCCTCCACTTTGTTTTTCTTTAGGAGGGTCTTGGCTATTCTTGAGCCTTTTGCATTTCCATATAAATTTTAACCTTGATGTTTCAAGTTTTACCACATACAAACCCACCAAAGCTGTTAGGAGTTTGATTGGGGTTGCATGGAATCAATGAATCAATTTGGGGAAAGATGACATTTCTGCAGTATGAGACAGTTTTCTGTTGTTTAGGTCTTTTAAAATACGTTTCAGTAAGGTTTTGTAATTTCCCCCATGGATGTCTTGCATATGTTTTGTTAGATTTATTTTTAGGTCCTGATTTTTTTTTTATGTTAATTGAAGTGGTATACTTTTGAAATTTTATTTTCTACCTCTCTGTTGCTGGTTCTGGAAGTGTAATTATTTTTATATACAGGCAGTCCTCACATTGCCCAGCTCTGAGATGCCCAGATTTCAGTTACCATGATATAGTTAGATAACACCAGTCCTCCAGCAGCACGGTTCAGTTTTCAGTTACCATGGTTTATTAGTTCTGAGTAATTGTATGAAGTACAAACTTTGCTGCCAGCGCTGCAGTCCACAGATCACTATGTAAATAACAGACGCTCATCATGATCAGAATCCTGTCGGTGATTGGTCACTGTGCATGTGTTATTCAGGTCACATACAGACAGCAGCACATGCAGTGGTGTTGCCTCTTTGTCTATCAGTGATAAATCCACATGACATTTTACAAAAATGTATAATTGAAAGAGAGAATTGGCTAACAAAGGTGAAGGTGCAGCAAAGGAACGAAAAGCAGTGACAGTGGAAGTGAAGTTTGAATCAAGCATAAATGGAGTTCTAGAAGAAATAGCTGATCATAAGACTGCGGACACTGTCACCATTCGAGAGATTCTAAATATGCAGCCAGAGGAACTCTAAAAAAAAACATTGCCATTGAGTTGATTCCGATCATAGCGACCCTATAAGACAGAGTGGAACTACCCCATAGGGTTTCCGAGGAGCGGCTGATGGATTCAAACTACCGACCTTTTGGTTAGCAGCCAAGCTCTTAACCACTGCGCCACCAGGGCTCCAGAGGAACTTGGTGAAGGTGAATTTATTGACATAGATGAGCAAAGTGATGAAGGATGAAGGTGTTGCAGGGGAGGTGACCCTGGCAAAAATCTTCATATTAAAGGAACTCTAGGAGATATTTCATGACATTGAAAGCACAAAGGGTAAAATATTGGAAGCTAACTCAGGCTTAGAAAGGAGTATAACAGTTCACCAAGGCATAGAAAAGATGCTCAGTCTTCTTCACAAGAAGCAAACACTGTTAAAAATACTCCTGATAAGATTTTAAAAAGAAAGAAAATACTTTCTCAGTGTTTCCAGTGTTCTAAATCACTGTATACTAAATAAATATTAGTTTTACTATTTTCTATCTACTTGTACATTTATAACTGACTATTAGTTTTTAATGTTTTGATAATACTTTTTAAAGGTCATGGAACAATCATAATTTTTTTCCCATTGATTATTAAAATCACTTTGCAATTTCTCATTTTACATTGTCAAACTGGTTGTACACTACTATGTATTAATACTTATATCCAGCAACCTTGTTAAACTCTTGTTATAAAATTCTAATTATTTACCTGTAGATTTTTTTGTATTTTCTACATACATAATTATATCATCTGGGAACAATGACAGTTTTGTTTTTCTTTCTAATCCTTATACGTTTTACAGAAAGGACCTCTGTAAGCAAAAATTGTGTTAAAATCGAATTTGTATATTTTTAATTCACAGGGTTTATACTTTATAATACTTAATGTATTTTATGTTGGCTTCCATTTGTTTTATGTTGTCTTCCATTCTTACATTCATTTTAGGAGTCAGTTCCAAAAGGTTTATTGTATGCTGTAGTTACAGATGTGGTCTCTATTTTATATTATAAATAATATACCATTTTATTTAATAACAGTGCAGTCAGATATAATTAGTTCTGCTCTTTATATGCTAGTAGATTATTATTCAGAGTGTTAAGAGAAGATGCAAAGGTTTAAAGGTTACTTAGGGCTGATGTTATATACACTGCTCTGTGTTAGATTTAAGTTCAAAACATAGCTTCCACTAGTAACTTGGATTTAGGAGATCTTTCCATTCTAAAAGACATGCTGATGTTTGACTAGTATTTTTAGATCATCTTAGAAATTTTTACCTTTCTCTGAATACTTAGTAAGTGGGACTTAATGTGTGTCAGTGAAAAAAGTTATATGAGGGAAACTTTTTCTTGTAATCAGCCTGGTTTAAGATTGGATCCAACACTGAAATATTTATAAATGAAATTATGTCTGAGTTAGCTTCAAAATGATTTATTGGTAGATGGAAGCAGATGTAAGGAGGGGTTTTAGATGAAACATGAGTGCTGTTGAATAGATGATTGTTGTAGAGAGATGAGTACGTGGGAATTGATTGCATTAGTCTTTGTATTTTTGTGTATGCTTGAAGTTTTTCTTTTTTTTTAAATAAAAAATTTTTTTAAAAAAATTGACCATAAGACTTTCAAATCAGGAATCCTCCCTTTCTCAGCTGAAGTTCATTGTTAGAATTAAGCCCTACTGCCCTAAGGCACCAGCATGAGTAATGAATTAATTTCTCTTCTGTGCACCTAGAATAGTAGTAATTATTTATCATCCTTGGGAGAATTTAGAAAATAGTTTTTGTGGTTCAGATGAATAACACTGATTGAGACAGCCTGGTCGAGAGTATAGAAATATATGATGGATTTATCACAGTAATGTTTTATATTTTGGTGTTTCTTTGCTTTGTAAATAGAAGCTTTGAACTTCTGTTTTTGAACATGATGGAAATACCATATTGTAAACATGTTATCCTATACTAACACTGTTGGAAAATGTGGTTTTCTTTTCTATTAGGTATGGTCTGAAGATACAGCCCATTGAAAGAATGCACCTAGCTGTGGTTGCCTGTGGTGAAAGACTGGAAGAAACTATAACCATGTTGAAGTCAGCTATAATTTTCAGCATCAAACCTCTTCAGTTCCATATTTTTGCTGAAGATCAGCTACATGACAACTTTAAAGGCATAGTAAGTATTTGAGACTTAGTGAAGATGGTAGAGTTGAATATTTAACTGTATCTATAGTAGAATGTTGTTTTATTCTTTCGTTTTCCGCCTAGTGTGGGGAGGGCTCCTTGCTGCCACTCCCATCCAAGAGACCAGACCTGGATATAAGAGAAAGCTTTCTTTTTGAATAGGAGTAGGCTACTTAAAATCCTCTGCCAAACATGGAGGTTTTATTTTTCTGACTATTGTTTCAATATGTTTTGCCTAAGAAGTCCTATGATTTAATTTTGTCTCTGTCTTTGGCTTGGAAGTGCCTCAATCAGAGTGCACACAAAGGGTTTAATCCTGTTTTGAGGGGAGGGAATTCTTGATTGACAATATAGAGGGAAGTGGATTTTTGCTCGGATAATAAAGTTCCTTAGATTTTGTATTAGTTAGAATCAACTTGGCTGCAGTGGTAGAAAACCCAAAATAATAGTGGCTTAAACAAGATAGAAATTTATTTCTGTCTCACATAAAAATAAGCACTCCAGGGCATATGGCTGTTCCACCATGTCTTCAGGGACTCTGGCTTCCTCTGTCTTATGGATGAGTTATCTTCAACATGAGGTTTCTACCTTATAGTCTAAGATGGCTGCTCAAGCTCTAACCATCACACCCATATTCTAGCCAGCATGAGGGAAGAAAGGGTAAAAAAGTCACCCCTTCCTTCCTTTAAAGACACTTTGCAGAAGTTACACGTGACATTTCTGGCAGTATTCCATTGGTCTGAGCTTAGTCATGTGACCATACGTACATGTTAGTAAGGGTGGAAAGTGTACTCTTTAATCGGGATACCATGTGATCTGATTAAAAAGATATATGTATTACTATGGAAGAAGAGGAAGAGAGATACTAGGGGAAAACATACAAGAAAAAGAAAATTCTCCTGAAATCTCACTACCTTGTGTTTTGAGATGGTGGTAAAGATGATGATAAATGATTATATCTGTATATCTATACCTAAATCTATCTATACAATAAATTAAACTTTCAAACTGATCTGGATTTTTATGTTCATTTTAATTATGTAAAAAATGTATTTGACTTTTTTCCAAGTTAATTCATCTTGCATGTTGAGTGAAAAATACCACTTGTGTGACCTCAAAACTTAGTTTTCTGCCAATTGATTCCAAGAGGTATAAAACATTACTCATGGTTTTAAAATTTTTGATAATATGCTTTTGTGATCTTGATTTTTTTATCTGGATTGTTTTCTAAAATATTAGCTGAGAAAGTGAACTTACCATAACATTTAAGAGAATAGTAATAGATTGTTGCCAACTGTAGAAACCTTTGAAAATGCAGTTAAAAAACCAAAATAAATTTATTGCTTTACCTTATATCCAGCCTCTGAATTAAAACCTGGCTGAGTTATTGTTTCTATAATAAGTACTGTATTTTTAAACTTAATTTTTCCTTGGTTATAATCAACTCTGAGAATGCTTGGTTTGCTTTTGATGAGAGAATATCAAGTGTTTTGTGGAACAAGATTTTAGTGCAAAGATGTCTAAGTGTAATAATGTTAATTGAAATCTGACTAAGATTTCATTTTGAAATTGATATTGAAAGGATCTTTATGTAATTTATAAATTGGTCAGGGAAAATAAAAGTGCTAGTATTTTTAAACATTTATTAACAGAGACATTAAAGCATCATGTTGGAAGTAAAGTCATTCCCTTAAACTATGTTGGAAGGCTTTATTTAATGTTTTTAAAAATTACTTACAACAGAGGGTTCTGGACAGAGCTGGAGAAGGATGTAGAGCATAATTCTAACTCACAAAAAAAAGACCAGATTTACTGGCCTAAAGGAGACT